CCTGGTTCATAAAAGAGTATGCTTACATTTGATTTGTGAAGTCTTAATAGTCTTTCAAAAATAACAGTTACAGAGATTATTATACCTCATTACTTGTTCCAGAATCAGAACTGATTGAGGTGCTGAAATTCTGGGTTGTAATCAAAGTTTCTTGGTCTCTTGCACCTGATGAAGTTCTTTCATTTGTAGGTTGTGATGTCTAGTTCATAAAAGATTGTTACAGTTAATGTGTGAAATATTAGTTGTCAACAAAACAACATGAAATATATAGAAATGACCTTACCAAAAATCTAGTCTGAGAAACAGAACTGCTCAAGTTGCTGATACTGGTGCTTGTTTTTTTACTTTCTGGTTGTTCAGTCCCCAATGAAATGCTGTTGTTTGTAGGTGATGATGTCTAGCGTTTAAACAAAGTAATTAATTTTGATGTGTCTAATATTTGTTAGTTTTTAACATAAAATATAAATCATCTTACCAAATAATTTTGTGACACAGAATTTGAGTCACTGAAATTGGAGTTTGTAAACAAATTATTTGCATTTGTTGTTCCTGATGAAGTGCTTTCATTTGAAGGTGGTGACGTCTAGGTCATAAAAGATCGAAGTAAATTCTTATGTTTGAAACAATAATTGTTTTTTGAAGAAACACATTGACATATATCATCTTACCAAATAACTTTTCTGAGCAGCAGAACTGTTTGAGTTTGAAGTTGTAAACAAAGTATTTTGACTTGAACTCCCCGATGAATTGGTGTCATTTGTACGACTGGATGCCTGGATAATAAAAGATCAACTTTAGTTTTGATGTCTGAATTATTGTCTTTCAGAAATAAGAATTGCAGAGATCTAATTACCTCATTACTTGTTCGAGAATCAGAACTGATTGAGGTGCTGAAATTCTGGGTTGTAATCCAAGTTTCTTGGTCTCTTGCACCTGATGAAGTGCTTTCATTTGTAGGTTGCAATGTCTATTTCATAAAAGGTTGTTGCATTTAATGTGTGAAATATTAGTTGTCAACAAAACAACAAGAAATATATACAAATGACCTTACCAAAAAACTAGTTTGAGAAACAGAACTGCTAAAGTTGTTGAAATTTGAAGTTGTAAACAAAGTATTTTGGCTTGAACTCCCCAATGAATTGGTGTCATTTGTATGACTGGAAACCTGGATCATAAAATATCAACTTTAGTTTTGATGTCTGAAGTATTGTCTTTCAGAAATAAAAATTACAGAGATCAATTTACCTTATTACTTGATAGAGAAATGGAACTGCTGGAGGTGCTGATATTTTGGGTTGTAAAACCATCTTGGTGTGTTGCACTTGTTGAAGTGTTTTCAGGTGGTGACGTCTAGTTCAGAATAGATTGTTTTAATTTTTCATGTGTGAAACATTAGTTATCTATGAAACATGAAATGTACGGAAATCGCCTCACCAAATGAATTGTTTGAGCACCAGCACTGCTTGATCTGCTGAATATCTGACTTGTATATAAAGCATTTTGGTCTGAAGTCCCTGATGAAGTGCTGTATGTTGTATTTTTTGAAGTCTAGTTCATAAAATATTTTTTGTTTATTTATTATTTGTGGAAAATAAGCCGTCTTCCAAAAACATAACTGAAACAAACCACCTTACCAAATAACTTGTTTGAGAAACTGAACTACTTGATCCGTTGAAAGTTGGGCTTGTAGCCAAATCATTTTGCTCTGTAGTCTCTGATGAAGTGCTGTATTTTGTCATTTTTGAATCCTGGTTTATAAGAGATTGTATTCATTTTTGTTTTGTTAAGTATTAGTGTTCTTTCAACAATAACAATTACAGTGATCAACTTACCAAAGCACTTGTTTGAGGAGCGGAACTGATTGAAGGGCTGAAATTCGGGGTTGTAAACAAAGAACCTTGGTCTGTTGCACCTGATGAAGTGCTTTCATTTGTATGTTGTGACATCTGGTTCATAAAATAAATGTTTAACTTTTTGAAACATCAGATGTCCACCAAAAATGAAAATACAACGCTCAACTTACCAAATGACTGTTTTGAGGAACTGAGCTGCTTGATGTGTTTAAATTCGAGGTTGCAAGCAAACTGTCATTGCCTGTTGTTCTTGGAAAAGTGCTGTTGCTTGTACTTTTGGAAGCCTAGTTCATCAAGGATCATATTTATTATTCAGTCTGTCAAATGTTGAATGATCTTTAAAAAATAAGAATTACAGAAGTCAACTTACCAAGTGACTTGTTTGAGCAAAAGAACTGCTTACGTTGCTGATATTGGGGCTTGTTTTTGGACTTTCTGACCGTGTAGTACTCGATGAAGTGCTTTCGCTTTTAGGTGGTGATGTCTAACGTGTAAAAGATATTAATTTTTATTATGTGAAATATTTGGTTTTCAACATAAAATATAAATCAACTTACAAAATATTTATGAGACACAGAAATTCTTAACACACTGAAATTTGAGGTTGTAAAACTATTTCTGATGAGGTGCTGTCATTTACATGTGGTGACATCTACTTTATAAAAAATTTTAATTTTTCATGTGTGAAAAATTAATTGTCTTTGAAAACATGAAACTCACTGACATCATCTTACCAAATAACTTGTTTGAGAAACAGAACTCATTGAGTTGCTGAAATTTGAAGTTGTAAACAAAGTATTATGGGTTGGACTCCCCGATGAAGTGGTGTCATTTGTACGATTGAAAACCTAGTTCATAAAAGATTGTATTTAGTTTTGATGTGTGAAGTATTGTCTTTCAAAAATAAAAATTACAGAGACCAACTTACCACATTTCTTGTTGAAAAAACAGATCTGTTTGAGGTGCTGAAGTTTAGGGTCGTTTGTGGTCTTTCTGACTGTACAGTCCCTGATGAAATGCTGTTGTCTTTAGGTGTCAATGTCTAGTGTATAAAATATTCTATTAATTGTTTTATTTAATTATTACCTATCTTCCAAACATAACAATTTCCGAGATCAACCTAAATAAATTACTTGTTGGAGGAAAAAAAAAACTGCTCAAGTGGCTGAAAGTTGTTCTTGCAAATAAACTTTCTGTCTCCACGTTCCCTGATGCATAGCTGTCACTTGTAGCTTTGGAAATCTCATTCATAAATTCTGTATTTATATTACTTTTTTTCTCAAGATAAAAATGACAGAGGTCGATGTACCAAATACCTGGTTTGTGAAACAGAACTACTTAAGTTGCTGAAAGTCTAGGTTGTAAACAAACTATATTGTCCTGTAGTTCCTGATGAAATGCAGTTGCCGTAGGTGATATTGGTTATAAAAGATTGTAGGGTTGCACCAATATAAGAATTTGAGCCAGTATCCGATGCAACTATTGCTGGTCTGGCTGATAACTATTATTTACCAATTTTAGACATATTATATATATTTTAGTACCATTTCGACAAGACCATAATGTTTACCTTACTTCAGCTTAACTTTCCACAATCTTACACTCCATCACTATCACATGACCAAAGAAATACCACATGACTAACCACCTCCATTCCAGAAACATATGGAAACAAGTTGGAAATGAATATCAGTTATTGATATTGTTCCAGTTTTATACCACTATGTTAAAAAATAACTAATATCAGTTGATGTTAATACAGTTATATACCATGCATGCCTAAAATATTGTATTTGTTTTTGATGTATGAGATATTAGTTCTTTCAAAAAAAAAAATTAAAAATTAAAAATATCAAAATCTTACCATACTGCTTGTTTGAGAAACTGAAATACTTGAGGTGCTGAAATTTGAGGTTGTGGTAGCACTTTCCGTATGTGCAGTCCCTGATGAAGTGCTATTGTTTGTAGGTGGTAATGTCTAGAGTATAACAATTTTTTATACTTATTTATAATTTATTTCTTTCAGAAATAAAAAATGACAAAGGTCATCTTACCACATTACTTGTTGGAGAAACCAAATTGTTTGGGGTGCTCCGAGATGCAGCTTGCATGTTGTTTTGACAAGAAGAATTGATCCCGAATCTTGGCCAGGTACCTATTTATATGAAAACATTGATAAATGTTTCTAGTAAACATTTATCAAAAGCCTACTAGAAAATTCTTCAATGGCACTGATATAAAACACCTTCACATAACAGTTTCTCAAATGTTGAATTTCCAAACAGCTGATCCAGGCCAAATCTAATGGTTGGTCCACCTTAAAAGTGCAAGAAAAAATAAAGTTATAAACTTTACAATATACATGTAAAGTAACTTTGCATGCAAATGTAAATGAAGAGAAAGTGCCTTTCATAAGTCTTCATACCCCTTGAAAATTCTCTCTCTTCAGACCCAAATGTAGTTTACTGGGTTGTTAAAGTGGACAAATAATGATGTGTGATTTATAAACTTGATAAATAATTAAATCAAAAGTGCTGTTTGCACATGCATCCCCCTTCACTATAATATTCTTAAATAAAGTCCTGTACAATTCTTATGCCTTTACCTAATTAGTAAAAAGTGTCCATCTGTGTATCTCAGCATAAATCCAATTGTATTCTATGAAGGCCTCAGAGAAACAGAAATGCTTATGAACAAACGTCTTTTCAAAGACAATAGAACAAAGCAGATAGACAGGTCAAAGTAAAAGTAGCAGAGAAGTTTAAAAGCATCGTTAAGTTTTAAGACAGAACCTCAGACTTTGAAAATCTCACAGAGCACTGATCAGCGATGTTACGTCATGTGAATGGCACAGCTGAAAAAAATTAAGATCTTAGCCATAGCAAAAGGAATAGGATTCAAAAATATTTAAATTATTTTTTTGAGCAGAACAATGCAACCATCTGTAAAGTATTTTAATCTGTAAAATCGTGGTAAGAATGCGACTGGGACAGAGGTTCACCTTTCAGCAGAACAACAACTCTAAACATGGAATCAAGGTCCCATCATATGTAGGAATATCCTAATCAAAATCCAGAATGCTATTTTTTTTTCACTATTACAGTCAAAGCAGACTTTTTAAAATTTTGTTTAAAAAAATTGAAAACGTCATCACTTTATTCCAACAGTTGTGTGCTTCTTTCCTGTGGCCTACCACACAAAATCCCAGTAAAATACAATTTTACTTTGCAACTTTGTAAAATAAAAAAGGTTTAACATCAACATTGTTTGATAGTTCAAGGGGTATGGATACTTCAGGCATTGTTTGTGCCAAATCTGTGTTTGTGACTTTACCCATTTTTAAGCAGTTCTGAATATTCAGCATTAAACCTGAAACAAAGAATAATAAAAACCTTTTGCATAAAGAGATAACATTGACATTGACATGTAACTATTTTCACCAACAGGGCACTCTCTCCCCGCTTTAGTTCAAAAAGAACATTGTTGGCAGTACCTTGTGAGTTGTAGAATGTTGATGGCATACATGAAAAATTATATGCTGCGTTCTGCAACACGACAACATCTTGGTTGCATAATGCTGTTTCATTCAGCGTTAGTTTGTAACAGTTACCAGCCAAACTTATTTTGGGGCTGCAGTCGAAACCCTCACAACAACCTGAAAATACAATAACATATCTGTCAGCAATGCTGTCCCTGCTAATCGCTGACCAGAAACTGAATTAGGTTTATCCAGTTAAAATGGACTGGCTCAAGTTGATAACTCTCCGCCACAACATTCTGGTATGTACAAATACATTTCTATAGCTTCTCAACTTGTATTATTGTACTGTATGAAAGCCAGGCTGGTGACACTAGAGTTCAGTTTAATGCAAAGGGGACAAGCAATCTCCACTTCCTGAATTCAAAGTTGGCATGGCAAAAACAGCATCAACCAGTTCTCAAAAAATTATCTTAATTCATGCACACATTCAACAACACGGACAATCACAATTATTTATTTAAGAAGACGGAAACATTCATGAGCACGTTGAAGAAAATAATAATAATATTCGGCTACTGCACCTGTTTTATTTTCATGGAGGTTGAAACACAGCCTTTTTCCACTCTCATTTATAAAAACAGCATCTGCAGTATAGAGAAATACCAAGTGCAAAACATTTTATTTGGTTTTTCACAGTAACTGTCCTTGTTAAACACTATTGTCACTGTAAATCCAAGCTCACCCGTTGGAAAAGTAGTATTGAGCGTAATTTTTTGAGGAGAAATAAACAGAATGTTTTTCATCCAGGCTCCTGTATTTGGGCCTGTAAAGAAACAACACTTAAGAACATCGTATCAAAACTAAGTAAAAAGTACTTGTTTAAAATAATAATAATTGTAAATGTAAAACAATACATGATCTCAAGAAGACATTTATTACTTACATGAAGCTTCACAAAAGTGGTCCTGGAGCAAAGCTGCATAAAGCAGAGAAAGTTTCACAACAGCAAACATCCATCGAGTGTTTACAGCCCGCGTTCTCATAATTCAAAGTAAGGAGGCAGATTGCATGAGCAAATAACTTGACTACAGCTTGATTTTATATATTTTTAAGTCCCACTTAAGTGTGTAGCTCCTTCTGCGACATGGTTTAGATAAAATACGGATTGTGTGGCGTTATAACAGAAACCTGTTGTGGCATCATTACTATTCAATCTGTTTTAATTTGCAAATTTAAGCATGACTACAGAGTGTATGTTGTCTGTTTTTTTTTTTTCCCCGCAGATGCCAGGAATGCAATGCAAATGTTTTTGATCCGTCATCAAGGATGTCATTTCATTTCTTTTATCCTAGGATCCGCCTCTAACAAATCCAGTTTTTCTTTTGCACATGATTGTTTGTAGTGCTGCTTATGTTTCTTACTAAGCATTTTTAAAAGAAGTAGATTTCCACAGTAGACAGGCCTATACTCTATGTAAATTTGCACTGGGGTTATGATGGAGCAGAAAATGATTTTGCGTTGGTGGTTGCACAATGATCACCTAAATTGTTTATATTTCACTGTTCCAATCTGCATATATCTTAAAGCCAACCATGCCATGGGTACTTTGGAAGTTGTCATACATCAAGAGAAGGTAGCATAAGCTCTTTTTTCTTACTACAGACAAGTAAATTTTATGGAAGTGGTCTCTAAATTGATCAATCTTGAATTGCTCCTACAATCTTTCTATTGTTGGGCTTTAATAGGTGGCCTTATTTTTATATTAAAATAAAAGCATTGTTCACATCCAGCTTGCACTGACGATAAATATAATTCTGAAGGAAATTGCATTACCCTTTCATCATTTATTCTGCTGACCTAAGAATCTGACAGAACCCCTGTTTCTGTAGGCCACAAACATACACTGCTCAAAAAAATAAAGGGAACACTCAAATAACACATCCTAGATCTGAATGAATGAAATATTCTCATTGAATACTTTGTTCTGTACAAAGTTGAATGTGCTGACAACAAAATCACACAAAAATCATCGATGGAAATCAAATTTATTAACCAATGGAGGCCTGGATTTGGAGCCACACACAAAATTAAAGTGAAATGTTCCCTTTATTTTTTTGAGCAGTATATTTCAAGATTTAAATATAAAGGTTCGACTGCCGAAATATGCTGTTTTCAAAAAACGATGTGATGAGTAATACAACTCACATGTATTGTTCTAGCACATGAATGGCATGTTTTGCTTCATTTATATGATGAAGCCATCTACCTTTCACATTATATTAAAAGTAACGGATCTCCAACAAATCCACTTGCTAGAGATCCATTAAACCCACTGCAGGTGAACTGAATTTACCAACTTTCATTGACAGAATAAACCTACGAAGCACATCCGTGCCACGGCTTGAGCCTTACGTGATCAAATTTTCCGTGTTTCCTTGAAAGTGGTTCAATGCAAATGAAGTAAGCAAATTGCTGCCAAAGTTTGAGAGCACCTGTTTGCATTTTGGATCTCACTGAAGAGAAAGGCTTAATTCATAACTGAACAAGAGGACAGTTGTGTTCGGAGTTACATGTGAAATACAGTGGAATCTGTTGTGAAAACAGCAATGTTTCTCCCCAATACCGTGACCTGCTAAAAAAACATGGTAAATGCATTAACGGTATATTCACTCATGACATACATATAATTCACAGTGTCATAGTTATTTGCTCATTTAAAAAAAAAAAAAAAGATGGTCACATTTGAATGTTTCAGATCATGAAACATTTCTTTTACATCAGGAAAAGACAGCCTGAGTAAATTCTGGCTGCTTTTATTAAGGCAATAAAACTTTACAATCCAGTCTAGCATGGGCCATAAACCTGGTTGTGCCATTGTAGGCAGTGACCACTGCCATCACATGGTTGTGATAACTGGCAATCAGTCAATACCATTGCAGTAGATTAACTTTGTTCCTCTCTTTTTTTGAAAAGATGTTTTTCTTCAGCCACATTTTAATTTTTTATGCAGTGTTTTTAAGGATATGCAATGACATCTCAATGGATATAAGTTTGGGCATTGACTGAAATACAAAGCTTTCATTTTGTTTTCCTTTTTTCTGAGCCATTCAAAGCTGGACTTGTTGGTAGGCTTTAGATTATTATTCTGCCATAGAACCATGTTCACTTGTTCACTTGTACTTAGGGTTATGAACTGGTGGCTTGGGCAAGTTATCCATGTCTCAAAGCAGCAAAGCAGACACAAAGCATCACACTAGATAGGTTCACCACTGTTGTGTTTATTTGTTGTTTGTTTCATCATATGGGGTTAATGGCTCTAACTGGACCTTAAAATCAGTGTAACCCTTCCCTGCCTAAGAGATACTGGAATTGGTGCCCTGGTTAAACTAAATAATTTAAATTTTAGTAATAATTAAATTCATAATTAATTACAATTACTCATAATTATAATTCCAATCCAATCAATTCCATATAATTCCAATCATTTTTATGCCAACATGTGAGGTTGCTACAGCATTTTTGGTTTCTATAATTCTGACTCCCAACAACAGCTACAGTTGGATGTTTGTGGAAAGTTTTTGCAATTTTTTTTTTTTTTTTTTTGAAAAGTACATGACACGGGAGGGAACAAAAAGCCCAATAAAAATGTGGCCTCTTAATTTACATCTCCTTCCTGAAAGCAAATTCATAATCTTAAACTTTCTGATCTAACTGGACTACCACTTCATTTTGACACGATTCCTCCCTCTTTGGAGAAATGTCCTGTGTTTTTGTCTCTTCTTGACTGTAACTCTATTGGCACCTACAAGTTACATACCTTTCAACAATGATGCCACCATTTGCTGTCTGAAGCATTGGTACCCCACTGAATACACAAAACCTATGTCCCCTGATCAGATGCATGCTACTAAACTTAAATCATATTGACAGTTGATGGTCTGACAATTTTTTTCCCCTTCACATTTGACTTTCGTCTTTTTGTCTACATATGAATGATAACATCTATCTTCAGAAAGTAGTTGAGGACAGGACATTTTTTTATCCATTTATTTGCTTAGACAGGGTGAAAATGAAAGCACAGATACAAACAAGATGCAGCCCATTAATTTACACTGGCTTCTGTCAAACATTGCATTCACAAACTGGTCCGTACAAGTAGTGTGTAATAAAAATTTAAATTCAAACCTATAAATACATTTAAATAAAGAAATACATACAGGCAACAAAACATAGACACTAAAGATGGGCGGAAAACAAATGTCTCCAACATTGAGCCTCTTACAGATGTTAATTGTGCAATAAACCTCCAAAAACAAACTCTCTTATCATATATCACTTTGTCATTTCATATTCTGCAAGTTGATCCACTCCACTGAGATCCTGAGCTCTGTGTGCTTTCTGGAGTTACACAACCCAAAGGACGTGGCTGACAACTCAGAGCATTATCCTGATCGATCGCTGGATTGGACAGCTTCTATTAATGGCAATAGCTAGTGACGCTCCACCACATGCACCATTATTAGGTATTGAGTCGTATCGAGCCAAGAGAGTTGTATGGCGTTTATAACTGATGCATACGTTAGAGCCATATTCTCCTAAAATGAGCCTGCTTAGAGGGTGTAGATAAATGCCAGTGCAGGGGAACCTGCGCAGCAAGAGCAGCTTCCAGAACATCCAATTTGTGTGGAATTACAAAAATTCATAGGTGCACTAGCAGGAGCGGCGACAGCGCGTGAGGCCAACACACGGGGCTGGGAACGGTGCATTTGGCATGCACCCCCTCACAAATGGTTCATTGCCTCAACTGTAAACCTATCTTTATGTGGAGAAACCTGTAATGTGAAATTTTATACTGGAAGCTCTTAGTTGTTTCCTGAAGTGTGAAAAGTGTGAAAAGCCTGTAGTAAGGCTAGGAAGTAAGTAAAGACTGTTTTGCTGTTACATTGCAAAATGGCCTTTACCTGTTTTGCAGGAAAAGACTGTTTATGTGTTTTATCTTAAAATGGTAATGGTGTGTAAGTATCACCTCAAGTGGATCACAAAGATAATATTGGTGGATCAAGTTCAACCCATGCTATGTCAGGACCTTTCAGTTTATTATGAGACATCAAATCACTGACCCTAATCAGGAAACAGCAGTACCTTAGTTTGCCTGTAGGGGTGCTAAAAACAGCTGAAGAAAACGCAAGTATTAACAGCAAAAGCAGGTTACCTTACACTCTCAATTGTTACCAAAATCTCCTGCCTCCATGTTTTGCTACCATATTATTGGTGTATTTTTAATGAAATCAGTAGTGCTACCTTAACAATTATTTTCTTCTGATTCAAGACTGATGCATTTTGCTAAAATTGTCTCTTCCAATTTCACAGTTCTTTTTAATCTTTTGGCAGAAGCCTCTCAGCAACCATGCAAACTTATTGGCAGGTGTTTACATACATAAGGTAACACCAATCGGTTTTGACAGAAGTGTGAAATGGGTTTTCTCCCTCAGGGCTACTGAGTCTACGCGCAGAACGAGCTGCCAGAAGGAGAGGTGGATTACCTAACACAAACTTTGAATGAACCTGTAGAGCGAAAAATGTGCCAATGGTGCCTCCTGGCAAAAAAATTTGACAGCTGGTGCTACAATTATGTGTGATTGCATATTTAGCACAGCTTGAACATTATATCGCCTTGTGCTGTTTTGGTCATTTCTGGTTGTTTTGTCAGCTATGTAACTAAAATACCTAGAGACATGATCAAATTTAAAACTACACTTATGCTGACCATAAAGGTCAGAGAGCCCTAATAATGATCCAAACCTCCTCCATGGGGTTAAGTGACATCTGAATTGAACTGTTTGTGTCAAATTAAAGGAAGCTGCATGCAAATGCATGTCATTCATATTGGTAAAAGATCTGGTAAAAAGTTTGATAATTTTGTGCAATTCTGGCTTTGTCTGGCTCATAATATAATAGTAATAAACATATGTACAGTGTATGTAGATAAATTAATGGATATACTTGATTCCTCACAAGTTACTTTTTAAAAGTTTGTAGCAGTAAGGCGAAAAATGTAGGGGAGTTCAACAAGTCACTGTACACATTACCTTTTTTTGTAACCCAACAGAAAAGAATCATATTTTAAATGTTGCTTACATTTATATGTATTCATCTGAATCAGTCCAAGTAGTTACATTTTGGAGAATAGCTTTAAGTGAGTCACATTCTCTTAGCCACGTTGTTCTCTTGGCCAGTTGTAAAAGAGCCACATTTATCATACCAATCAGTCAAAATTTGCATTCCACTGAAGCTGTGGAGTTTCATTTAGAAAGTTAGAAAGTAGTACCTGTTACTGTGTTGCTTTTTAAATACAAATGGTAGTATGATATGGTAAGGTAAGACATGGCTTTTAGTAAATTATGGAGTCAGACTGATGATTTCCTGGACATTATCTGAGGGAAGAAGTTCCTGATTTCAGGTCAATTTAAAACTCAAGACTGTTTTTTACATTTTGGAAAGAGTCCGACACAGAGAGAAAACTCTTTAGACCATTACAGCAACTGCCATGTGAAATGAAATGCTGTCCTCTAGTGTCCATACAGCCTCATCAGACAAAAAGGTGAAAAAAGCTCCACAAGAAAAGATATTGAATTTCAGTTGGGAATATGATTTAATTCATTCAATGTCCAAAGGAGGAAGGAATAAGTACCTTAACCATAAGGAGACTTGGACACAGTCTCTGAGGTTTGGTTGCTGCTCTTGGTTTGCTTGCTGACCTCTGGAAGGATCCTGCTGGAGAAGTAGTAGTAAACGAACAGGAAGAATCCTACAAACACAGAATGCATTCGTTATTTCTTCCCGTTACCTTTCAGGAACTTGGTCTGAAATTCAAACTTATCAGTTTTAGGCCTACCTTGAAAAGAATTAAGGACGGTGAAGATGTAGTAGGAGGGAAGGAGCAGAGGGCCGTAGCTAAAAAAAGCAAATCCCCAGGTGATGCCCAAGAGGCAGAAAAGTCCCAGAAGAGAGAAAACTCTTTTCTTGGTGGATTCTTGGGTTTTTGCTTCTTTGGGTGTAAAGTGTTTGATCTGCACTACGGTTACGACAAATATGGTTAAAGTGAATATGAACACAATGCCATAGTAACTAATGTTTACAACTAAGTGGGTCGCATAATCAGGGATCCAGCACCTGGAAATCATGAAAGAAATGCAATTATTTTGGAGCATGACAATCAAATTTAAAATCTGATATATATCTAATATTTCCTTACATAGTTACAGAGGTTCCATTATTATCAGAAATGTCGATGTAGTCATATTTGCTTGAAGCAAGAAGTCCAACAACCACAACAGCTGGAACAACTAAACAATATTTTTCTTTTAGTTATTAGAATCTGCAGACAAATCAATGAAAGTTTTTAGCATATATTTCTTACCCCATCCCGTGATGCAAATCTTGCCCATATAATATTTGATGCCTGTGGAGATCTGGTGTAGATTGAAGTACAGGTGCAAGGCCTGCATGAAGAACCATGTGAATGTGGCCAGCATGCTGTAGTGCAGAGCCGCTGCCATCGCCACACATGCTGCTGAGACCTTCAGTTTAGCGATTGACTCATTTACCAAGAAGCAAAGGTTCAGGAAGAACAAGGCGACAAAGAGATTCATGAGGATCTTTACAGATTCACTGGCTTTAGTTTTCCTGTGAAGCAAATTGGTTTGTGTTATCAACATTGTTCAGAGAGGAATAATTCAAATCAAAAAGCAGACTTTTTGATATTTTTACCTGATCAGAAAATGCATGAAGAGGGCCACACCCAAGAAGAACAAGGATATGCCACAGCCAGCCTTTGTGATTTGGGTCAGGGTTTTCAAGTCAGAGGAACTGATCTGTACATCTGTGGACTGATTTCAAACAGGAACATGTATTTAATAAACCTGAAAAACTTTTGAATGAAATTTACTTTAAAAAATAATTGTATAAAAGTTTATAACCATGAGAATAGCAAAAAATGTAAGATGAGAGCACTGGCATGTGATGCTGCCATTGGCCTCGTTTGTTAGGCAGCCATCCGTGATCCACTTGTTTTTGCCACCTGGTGGACAGTCATAACACAAAGAAAAGCATGAGACTAGACAGGAAAGAAAAAAAAATAAAGCTTTGAATTCAATGAAAGATTTGGGAAGCATGGGTTTGGATGATAAAATTATAGGAACTGATATAAAAGAGCAAACTTGGGTTTTCTTACAGTTCCTTACAGGCAAGGCCCTGTTTTATTTATTTAAAATATGTAAGAAAATACTGCAGTTTTTTCAAAGAGAATGCAAGGTTTTAATGAGAAATACATGTCTTAACTTCCCTGACAGCTCCAATCAGCTGACATCTTGCAATGACATTCTTAAGCCTGCATTTATAACTTTACTGGGTCTTTTAAAAAACTGTACAGTATAACCAGAAAAAAAAAAAATACCTTCTTCTTTACTTGTGCCATCCCATGATACACAAGTGGCATTAAATTCAGTCTGCAATAGCATAGAAAATAAATGAATACAGATGTGAAATGATGGCTGTTAAGGAAGTAGTTAATATCTCTCTTACCGTATTCACATCAGTGAAGTGAATATCAATGGTTTCTGAGAGGTTGGATATGCTCACTCCCATTTCAACCCCCATCATTTCATTGTTGAAAAAGGAACTGGTTTTGTTGAGCTGTTAAAAACAAAACAAAAAATAAATAAATAATTGCTTTAAATAATTATTTTGTTTTACAAAATAAGGTAACATTTTGGTTTTACCTTCTCAATTTCTGGGAAAAGAAAAACTCCTGCAAATGAGCCATTTTGTTCAACAGCCGATTTACTGGCTTTCTTAGGAAAGTGAATCGTTTGCTTGATGTTTGTCACCCCATTATTGTTTTCCTTGAGAATCTATCACAAACAGAGAATATTAGAGAAACTCAACTTCTATACCTTTTTTTATCTGTTTCTTATTGTTCTGTCATGAAAGCTGTGTACCATTACATCCCCACTTGATTGAAAGCCAAAGTCCATGACTGTCTGATTTTGTTTTGGCAGTCTAGACATAACCCCAGTAATGTTGCCCATTTTGATGGCAGCTGAGCTGGAGTTGCCCATAAGGTCCAGTATGAAACTAAGATTCTTCATTAATTTTCTGTAATGGAAAAATATTTTTCAAATAACATTGTCAGACAATGTGATCAGCTTCTGTAGGTGTTTGTGTTATTTTTACATTCATGCCAAAAAATAATATATATTTACGCTGCTTGATCTGAGTCCAGAGGAGTCTTCGGGGCTTCGAAAGTTAGGAGTTTTTCTGGCTTACCGTCTTCGATTAGTGGCACGCTTGACTGGTTTTAAACAAAAAAAGTATGTTTTATCTTACAATGTAAAATGTCTGTATCAGTATTGCAGTGTAGTGTAAAATGAATGTTTATCTTACAAGCAAAATCCCAAAGAATGTAAGATGAGAGCACTGGCATTTAACGTTATCCGAGTTCTTAATTGTTGTGCACCCATCTGTGGTCCAGTTTGGTTCATTTCCTGGTTGACACCAGAAGCACAAAGCCAAAAGATAAAACTGAAATTAATCACAAATAATACGTTCATACTCATATAAATGTATTACATGCAGTTAGTGAACAAAGGTGACACGTTTTGCTGTTGGAAAGCGAAATGAGACAAAAATGTTGCTAGAAAACTTTCTCATAAAATTAATTGTAGCCACCTTAAAAGTACACAGGATGGTGTTAAAACCCAAAGTTTGTTTAAATGTGCAAGTTGACAAAATATAAATAAATACATCTGTGCTATTAGTTTGGCCATACTCAAATGTACAATGGTCTTGGAGAAATGTTAATAATGAAAGATTCATTCATCTGCTCGTCTTTGCTTTGGCCTCGAGCCTTGTGGAAGCCATGTTGATAATTTGATTCGCTAGTAGATTGTATTGCAACCAATTTAAAAGCCAATCTGTAATCCTAATTTACACTGAATTAAAAATCTTTCCTGGCTCTGTGATTATATTAGCATACAGAGGGAGGGCCCTCGGCTATTGAGAAACAATTGCTTGTACTTAAATAATGCTAAATAACAAATTACAAACACAAATGGGTGTTTCTGTATATTTCCAAATATAACTTTAATTCCATCCGATACTAGGATAAATGTTTCACTTGTAAATAAATATATTTATTTTTAGAAAAGATAAAAGATGACACCAAAAACGCATTCCTTCATGTTTCAAATAATATTCACAAATCTAATTGTTTAGCAAAATGTGCTATAATTTAGATGGTCTAAACTAAAGAAATACAAATTACTTGATCTAGACTAAAACTAAATGTAGCATTAGTCAAAATACAGTGACTAAATTTAAAGTGAAATCTGCTGCCAAAGTGAACATTGCCACTAACTTCTTTTGCAAAGTTTTTGTGTACTTTCTTTGTCATGATAAATACATCATGTCTGAAAAATACACAAAATCTACTTGCTACTTCAAAGATGGTTCAAGAAGCTAAAGAATTTCTCCTCATAAAAGTTTGAGAAATTATGAGACTGACTCAGATTTATGCAAAAGCTATTTTCTAAGGAAAAAATCTCTTTAAAACTAATATTGTGTCCTTACAGCAAGTCTTTACAAATGGACCATTTATGAAAGTATTATTGTTATCCAACTTACCATTACGTTTATTGTTATCCCATGATACACATTTGGGAGTTAATCCAGACTGCAGGATAAACCAAAGCAAAATATAAAACATCTGAACATGTAGTCTGCCTAACGAAGCAACACTTTGAGAGATACCTTCACCAGTGTGGCATTGTTGTACTGAATGTCAATGGGTTTTGATAGATTGGATATTTTTGATCCCATTTCAATTCCTAGCACTTCACCATGCAAAACAGATGAATCGTTGTCATTCTGTTGAGAGTAAAATATGTGATTTTTACAGTATCAAAAAAACAACAACACTCAAAATAAATATACAATTTGATCTTACCTTAAACACTCCTGGAAATATTAGAATTCTTATATAATTTTCATTTTGTGCAAGCGCCATATCTATGGCTTCTGTGGGGAGGTGAATTTCGGTGGCAAATATTTTCTTCGCATTGTAGTTTTGTCCAAGAATCTATCTCAAATAGAAATGATCAAACTCAGGAAGAATAATTTTTTTACAAGTTTGTTTATTTTTTTAACTGAAGCTACATACATTTACATCTTTACTTGATGTGAAGCCAAAGTTCATGACAGCAGGATTCGGTGATAGTTTAGCAATCACTCCAGTGATATTGCCTATTTTAATGGCTGCTGTGCTGACATTTTTTTCGGTCATATTGTATATATAACCATTCAAATCAAACATAATTTGCCTGCAATAGAAACATAATTACTTTAAACATTAAAATTTCTTGACTTATATAACTCCAATGGTAGCTTTTATTAACATATGTTGTGTAATGATATTTTTTTATTGCTATTATTAAATAAGATACTCACACTGCATCCTTTGGGTCCACACAACTTGAGTTTTTCGTAAAGGTCATCTCTGGTTTCAGAGTCTTTGGTATGAAACAAAATAATGGATTTAGCTCTCTTGGTCAAGTAGAAGAATAAATCATTTGAAATCAGAAAAATCACTTTACCATGACGACAGCAATGAATGTATTATGCGAGCATCGGCAGTTGACGTAGCCATTTGTCTGATTTGTTTGGCATCCATCTGCTGTCCAAGTTTGATTGCCTAGTAGACAGATGTGACACAGGACAATAACATTAGACACAGAATCAAAGTAGTGACAAATATTTTAATAAAAATAATGTCTTCTTTCTGTAAGTAGGTAAACACAAGTGGCCATTGAGTGTTTAAAAGTTGTCCTTTATATTATCTTTGAAAAAAATTGTTGAATTTCGTATGACAGATATAGTGATGCACCACTGTATTAAGAGATGTTTATCTGAAGAAGAGAACTAATGAAAGCTGTGCGGTTGCTTGTATAAGATGTTGAAAGTGTTGGGAAAGATACATAATTTATATACATTGGGGCAAAAAAGTATTTAGTCAGCCACCAATTGTGCAAGTTCTCCCACTTAAAAAGATGAGAGAGGCCTGTAATTTTCATCATAGATATACCTCAACTATGAGAGACAAAAGGAGAAAAAAAATCCAGAAAATCACATTGTCTGATTTTTAAAGAATTTATTGGCAAAATATGGTGGAAAATAAGTATTTGGTCAATAACAAAAATTAATCTCAATACTTTCCTATATACCCTTTGTTGGCAATGACAGAGATCAAACGTTTTCTGTAAGTCTTCACAAGGTTTTCACACACTGTTGCTGGTATTTTGGCCCATTCCTCCATGCAGATCTTCTCTAGAGCTGTGATGTTCTGGGGCTGTCGCTGGGCAACACAGACTTTCAACTTCCTCCAAAGATTTTCTATGAGGTTGAGAGATCTGGAGACTGGCTAGGCCACTCCAGGACCTTGAAATGCTTTTTACAAAGCCACTCCTTCGTTACCCGGGCGGTATGTTTGGGATCATTGTCATGCTGAAAGACCCAGCCACGTTTCATCTTCAATGCCCTTGCTGATGGAAAGAGGTTTTCACTCAAAATTTGACGATACATGGTCCCATTCATTCTTTCCTTTACACGGATCAGTTGTCCTGGTTCCTTAGCAGAAAAACAGCCCCAAGCATGATGTTTCTACCCACATGCTTCACAGTAGGTATGGTGTTCTTTGGATGCAACTCAGCATTCTTTCTCCTCCAAACACGACAAGTAGAGTTTTGACCAAAAAGTTCTATTTTGGTTTCATCTGACCATATGATATTCTCCCACTCATCTTCTGGATCATCCAAATGCTCTCTAGCAAACTTGAGACGGGCCTTGACATGTACTGGCCTAGCAGGGGGACACGTCTGGCACTGCAGGATTTGAGTCCCTGGCGGCGTAGTGTGTTACTGATGCCTTTGTTACTTTGGTCCCAGCTCTCTGCAGGTCATTCACTAGGTTCCCCTGTGTGGTTCTGGGATTTTTGCTCACCGTTCTTGTGATCATTTTGACCCCACAGGGTGAGATCTTGCATGGAGCCCCAGATCGAGGGAGATCGTCAGTGGTCTTGTATGTGTTCCATTTTCTAATAATTGATCCCACAGCTGACTTCTTCACACCAAGCTGTTTACCTATTGCAGATTCAGTCTTCCCAGCATGGTGGAGGTATATTATTTTGTTTCAGATGTCCTTTGACAGTTCTCTAGTTTTGGCCACGGTGGAGTTTAGAGTGTGACTGTTTGAGTTTGTGAACAGGTGTCTTTTATACTGATAGCGAGTTCAAACAGGTCCCATTAATACAGGTAATGAGTGGAGGACAGAGGAGCCTCTTCCAGAAGAAGTTACAGGTGCGTGAGAGCCAGAAATCTTACTTGTTTGTAGCTCACCAAATACTTATTTTCCACCATATTTTGCAAATAAATTCTTTAAAAATCAGGCAATGTGATTTTCTGGATTTTCTTTTCTCCTTTTGTCTCTCGTAGTTGAAGTATATCTATGATGAAAATTATAGGCCTCTCTCTTCTTTTTAAGTGTTAAGTATCTGTTTTGATAACGTTTCTGTTGTTGTTGCACATCTGTTTTTATGCATTGACGGAGGATCTTGTCCAGAGTTACAGTATTTTCATAACAGTCACTCAATGGAGTAACGTTAAGTGAAACCTGGGAAAAGTTTGAATTTATTGCAGAATTTACATGTCTGGAAGCTTCACTTCAAGAGCACCACAGTTCTCGTAAAGAATAAGTGATACAAGTGCAGATGCTATGCTCATTAGCATAGCACAGAGCTAATGGGCACCAGAAATCTGGTTCATGAGAAATTATCCTATTTTGTCACAATAACATATTTAAATAAAAATGTGTGAAGCATTTTAATAGATTTAGGCTAAGGAAATCAAGTCACACATTTGTTGCAGGAAAACAAATTCCCCCAGTCTCCCTGCGGTTCATGACAAGTTGCCTAGTCACTTGTCATGACTAGGCAACTTGGATCAGTTGAATTTGTAAAATCAGACCTTTTTCTTTCCTAGGGGTTTGCAGCAATCAACAGTAACGCGAAAGCAGAAAGTCTTTTTTCTAGTTCTAGTTCTGTATTACATTTTCTATTGTTAGGGGAAGAAAAAGAAGAATGAGCCAAACTGCCTTAACCCTCTGATGCATAAGTGGCCTTTGAGGTCATCTTTTTGCAATATCTTTGTAATCCAGCAATTCCATTGCTTCATATTCCAGGTATTCCTCAAAAAATATGTTACTGATATCATGCAAATTTTTTATTTACCTTTTATACATTTTAAGAAATAGCATGTTTTATGCTACTACCCCATTCTTCCGTGAGTGGGTCCAAAATGACCCGCATTCATTTTCTATGGAATTTAATGGGAATCTTTGTTTCTTACCAACTGTGACTGTCAGGAAAACATTTTATAGTGAACCAAACACACTGAGACATAAGTGTCACCCCTGAATAGTAATATTTTACACAGCAAGAATTCTTACATATAAGTATTAGTTTTATGTTTTTTACCTCACAAATGTGCGTGCGTGTGTGTGTGTGTGTGTGTGGGTGTGTGTGTGTGTGGGTGTGTGTGTGTGTGTGTCAATCATGAGTTCTGACAGTCTTATTGCCACAAATCAACCTATTAGCCTTCTTCAAACTTAGCCAACACTAGTTATCTAACCAACTAGCTAACATTACCAGCTATACTTTACTGTGCATGTGTATTATTTGTGTGTGTGTGTGTGTCTGTGTCTGTGTGTGTCTGACACCCTGGATGAGAAAACCAAGAGAGAATGTGTTGAATGACATACAAAACCTGTTGATCAATGTGTTCAAGGTTCTTTTTATCATCTCAATAAATAAAATAAAAATTCATAGCTATAGAAATAAATGCATAAATAAATGAGCCAGAAAAGTATGGAGTGCCTTCTTTGGGTCGGGGAGGATGTCCTGCCCCAAGTGGAGGAGTTCAAGTATCTCAGGATCTTGTTCACCAATGAGGGAAAAATGGAGCAGGAGATCGACAGGCAGATTGGTGCAGCGTCTGCATTGAAGCAGGCGATGTACCGATCTGTCGTTGTGAAGAGAGAGCTGAGCCAAAAAGCAAAGCTCTTGATTTACCGGTTGATCTAAGTCCCTACCCTTGTCTATGGTCATGAGCGTTGGGTCATGTCTGAAAGAACAAGATCACAGATACAAGCGGCCAAAATTAGTTTTCCCCATAGAGGGTCTGGGCTCTCCTTTAAAGAGAGAAGCTCAGTCATCCAGGAGGGACTCAGAGTGGAGCCGCTGCTCCTTCGTGTCGAGAGGAGCCAGTTGAGGTGGCTCGGGCATCTAGTTAGGATGCCTCCTGGACGCCTCCCTGGTGAGGTGTTCCAGGCACGACCCACTGGGAGGAGACTCAGAGGAAAACCCAGGACACGCTGGAGGGACTATGTTTCCCAGGTGGCCTGGAAACACCTTGGGATTCCCGTGGAGGAGGTGGAACAAGTGATTGGGAAGGGGGAAGTCTGAGCCTTCAGACTTCCCCCGGACGGACGGATGGATGGACATAACATATATATATACACTCACATGCGTGATGCACACAGCATAATAGAATATAGATAGTAATGTTAGCTAGCTTGGTTAGCTAGCTAGTTTCAAGAAACGTGCTCTTTCTTCACACCTTATCCCAATACAAGTTTACAACATTCATTAGATCAAAAGTGACACACATGCTTCACTTTATTTTCCTCTCTTTTAGACCAATTTAAATGCATTTGTCAGTTCTGCAGCATACATTGCATTGTAAAGAGACAGCAACTTTACAATGTTTTTCTAGACCATGGATATATGAGAGTTTTTTTTTTTTTACTGTTTAATCAGTGTTTCTTACCTTTGCCATCCCAGGACACACAGGAAGCACCGTAATGTGTCTAGAACAAATAAGAAAATTCACAATTGGAATACATTTTCTGTCTACATAAAGAATATGAGGAAATTTCTTAACATATCTTTACCGTGTTCACGTTGCTGTAGTGAATGTTTATGGCTTGTGAGAGATCGGAGATGCTTGCTCCCATTTCAATCCCAAACATTTTATTGTTCAAAAACTCCTGCAAGAGAAATATAATTAATAACTAATCAATATATTGATATTCACAAAAAAAAACAAAAAAACATCAAATCATGTTTGTTCTTACTTCAGGCATTCCTGGAAAAAGCAGAACGCCAATGTATTTGCTATTTCTTTTTGCTGCCAATTCATTGGCTTCTTTAGAAATTTGAATCTGCAGATCAAGCTTCACGTTCACATTGTTCGTTTCCTTCAAAGTATTAGACAAAGAGAGATTAGAATTAACCAGAACTCTTCTAAACTCTTGTTTTTCTCTTTCTGTTCTTGATTCAACAGGAGCTTCATACTTTGACATCCCCACTTGCTGTGAAGCCAAAGTTCAATGCAGTTTGGTTTTGACCTTGTGGTTGCAGTTTAGCGATTGCCCCAGTGACATTGCCTAATTTGATGAATGCTGTTGTGAAAGCTTCCATCTGATCCTGGTAGAAACTGAAATCATTCATGATATTTCTGTAATAAAAAACAAAATTGATTAGTGACCTCTCACATTAATCAGCTATCTTGCACTAATGCAGCTCTATTAGAGTGCATGTCATCCTAGAATTATTCACATCAAAAAACAAATATTTACACTGCTCCCTGAAAAGTCGCGACATAGTTTGTGTATGGAAAAATTAGATTCAGCGGCTGCTGAACCCCAGCTGAGACCGGCGATTCACAAGATATGATTTTCACAATGGATGTTATTTTAGATCCAAACTTGAACTTGTACTTAACACTACCTGTGAATTGAAGCACAAACACAAGTGACCACATTTTGTGAACAAAATGTTTACTAAAATATTATTTTAACTTAAAACTTAGAATACCTTCACAAGTCTGCACATCATTATATTGATTTTGGTATAGATGATCCAGAGTGATTCTAACATTCCTGCCACCTGACAACAGAATAAAATAAGTTGTTAAGAGCTATTCTACTACAAAGTTTAGAGACGTAGCAACAGGATGTAGTTACCTGGCTTCAAGCAGTTATCAAGATCAAGAATGAACTCTAAGTGGCAAATCATTCAAACAAAATAGATTAGAAGATGAGGTATTAATGACAAGATATTTACACTGCTTGAACAGTGTTTGAGGGAATACAAGCATTTAAGGTTTTAATCGCTTGGAGATGTAGATAGTTTGTACCTGTTGAGTTGTGGAGCTGTGAGAACATGCATGAAAAATTGCTCATTGGGTTCAGTAACACCACAATGTCATGCTTGAGTAGAATCTCTCTACTGACAGTCAGGCTGTAAGTGCTGTCACTGAGCCGAACTATTTTGGTGCCACAGTTGAAATCTTCAATACCACAACAATCTGAAGAAAATAAAACAAAACAAAAAACAAAAAAATCCTCATCATTTACTGGTGAAAATAGAAAACTGACTTACAGGAAGCTGACGATAGGTCAGACATTAGAAAACTGTACCCGCATTAGACTGGTTTGCCTGAATGTTAAAACAAAGATGAGTTCCATTTTCTTCTTTAAAGACAACATCTGAAAAACAGAAAAAAAGAACAAACAAAAAACAACAAAACTAAAATAACAAATTAACAAAATAAGATATACTATTTTTTTTTCCTGGGAAATTCTTATGTCAGGAGTCCTTTTTTACATCGAGTCCAAGCTCACCTGATGGAAAATGAGGATCAACTGGAAGTTTTTCTGCACTGACAAAAAGTATGTTTTTGAGTCTGTGTCTTTTCTTGGTGCCTGTAAAAAACAAAAAAAAAAAAAAAAAAAAAACAACTTCAAAAAATACAAACACATCAATATGGGCAGAATAATTTTAAAAGCTGCTGTCACTTACTGGAAGCTTTACAAAAGTGGTTCTGAAGCACAATTACAGAGAAGAGAACAAAAATCTTCAAAAGAAGCATCCAGCGATGATTTACGGCCGATGGTGACATTTTAAAGGATTGAGCAGGAGCATGAAGATAGACCACAAATAGATAATATAAGTAATTTTTAAATGCACCTCAGGCTGCGGTTGTTTCTGTTGAATGACTCAGATGGAGTCTGAATTGTCCGTCGCTACCACAACACATCTTCTGTGGCATCATTACCATTTTGTCTTATTTAACATGCAAATGAATGGTGACGGAGTGGAAACATTTTAACAAGGGCTTGTTTTGCTACAGACTGAATAAACTGTAGTACTTTTACACAATTCTTATTTTTACAGTCGTTACATATTTTTATTTTAATTTTTATGTTCTTAAACATTTTCAAAAGGAAACAGCCGTACTATTATCATAACAGTCGCTGACTTTTATAATTTTTCCACAGTAAATCTTCTGTTTCTGCTGTTTTTAGAGTAATTTGATTGCAACAGGCTTCTCTGTCTGTAGATACTGCTTCACCATGAGAATAACTTGTTATATATACTGCAGATGACTAAATACACTGAAGTTATGCCATTTCATTAAATAATCTGCTATTTGTTAATGCAAACAATTGATCAGATGTACCCAATAATGTGGCAGACGAGTGTATTTTTTGGGGTTAATAAAAACAAGGACATGAAATAATGGTATAGCTAGAAAAGTTTTTTTTTTTTTTTTTTTTTTTCTCACATTTTCAAAACACCCACAGCACCTGCAAGTTTACATAGTTTAGTAAAATTAAGGGACAATACAAACACTGAGGTGAATATGTTTTAAACCTGACATGCAAATTAGTTATGATCCATAGTTTCCATTTCCTTCCACTTTGACTGTTGGGTGTTTCATGTCCGTCACGTACAAAGCCGTGCAATCTGGTAGTTGATATCAAAAGTAAACGTTTAATTTAATTAACAACCATAAATAATTTATGTTGTTTAAATTGCCTGAATTGGCATTTACAACCAAAACATACAATTAATCCATTTTACTGCTAAAGGTTCATATGCTCAAGCATTAACTGCTTCCTTAAAAAGTGGTGTGAATAAAATGACGTAAAAAAATATAGTTGCCGCAGTGCTTTAACATCTATTTGCATTTGGATCTTGCTGAGCAGAAAGACTTTATTTATAACTGTACATGGCAACAGTTGCCTGTTTGTGTTTTGTGTTACAAGAGGACTGCTGTTGAAATCCTTAAAATGCTCCAAAAATGACTGAACTACAGTAAGAGGAAGTTGAACTATGCTGCCCTCGCAATGTGTTGTTCTTATAAAGCTAGACAGCTAGCCAGCATCGGGAAATAATCCAATCCTTTATAGTTTTTCTTGGTTTTACTTTGCAACTCTTTCCAATAAGTCGATATCAAAACACAAAGAGGTAACTCTATAACCCATGTAGAGTTATAAATAAAGTATTTCTGCTCAGCAAGACCCAAATGCAAATAGTTTGTAAAACTGTAACAAATACAAAACCAAGCACACATCAGCCACAGATAAAATACAGAAACAACCAGACCCCAGCAAACAAATGGCTCCCAATTAGTACTAATTAGCTAACAATGCAGCTTAGCTTAAAATTTTAGTTGTGAACAGAAAGCACTTTTCCTGATAAAATATTACACAATACTGAAATAATAATTGATAAAATTAATTTACAAATAAATAACGTCCAAGGGACAAACATGTCTGAAGGACAGCCAATGGCACCACGTGTACAGCCAGTCCGCTTCTGCGCGACGGACCAAATTAAACACAATGTCCACTATCACATAGGCATTTATCAAATTGAAATAATTTTGGTAATTCCAACTGATCTAAATCAAGATTTAACTTCAGACAGTGAGGAAAGAAGTGTCTTTTATTTTGGTATTAACTTATTTGATCTCTTGAGTATTTACAGAACATATGTAAATCTATTTGCATGCAGTGAATCGTCACATAAGCCTACTGTCTCTGTTCAATTCATGCTTGAGCTATGTGTACCTGTGATGTATAGCTAATTTTCTAAACTGTTTTTTAAGCTAAACTATATTACAGTACTGGAAAAAAAAAGTACTTCTATCTTGCTTGTCCTATTTTGTTAAAGTTCAAGAACTTTGATTGGCTACATTTCTGTATCATTGCTCCTCTTTATTACACTCACCCTGAACATCAGGGTGAGTGTAACTTTTTGCTTGACTTCAGAAAAGCTCTTCCGAATACACCTCAATATTTTATCTTAATTTCTTGATTTTTAAGACCTGGATTTTTATGGATTATACTCAAGCACATCACAACAATATTATGACTTTAGTTGAAGAGGCTACAAATGTTTTACACAGTCCCTCCCCTCTTGAGTTGTGTTTATTTGCAACGATCTTGTTAACTTCAATCTATACATTTAAATAAACTTACAATTCAGACTACAATCATCAACATTACTCTACTCTCAAACATTTTTTGTCAAATCTAAATTCTATAAAACACTATAAAACAACTAATTTATCCCCCTATAGCTAAAAAAAAAAATGATTGAATGGTACAAGGATAACAAAGGCTGATTTCAGATTCAGCATTTTAATATATAAAATACTGGGATAAAATTCTGGGATAATTTGTGTCCCATAATTTAGGTAAAAGAAAAAAAAACAAAAAACTTTTTTACATCGAGTCCAAGCTCACCTGATGGAAAATGAGGATCAACTGGAATTTCTTCTGCACTGACAAAAAGTATGTTTTTGAGTCTGTGTCTTTTCTTGGTGCCTGTAAAAAAAAAAAAAAAAAAAAAAAAACAACTTCAAAAAATACAAACACATCAATATGGGCAGAATAATTTTAAAAGCTGCTGTCACTTACTGGAAGCTTTACAAAAGTGGTTAGCACAAAAATGCTTATTTAGAAAAATCAATGCTCCCAAGGAATCCACAACAAAAAATGTGTAATTATTATCCTGTCCTTTATTGGTTAAGATGAATCTCATTCAGTTTCATTTCAATAGTCCTTCATTCATCCTCTTAGTAAATAATAAGTAAACTTATAATAAAGTAGACTATGATGTTTTTTATTCTTTAAAAACAGTAACCATATTTTTTACCTTTTATGGTTGGGCCATGACTTGGTTTTGGGCGTGTCGGGCACGGTGTGTCCCTGGCCCGGTCGGTTTTATGATCGGGAATTCCTCATAAAGGTAGTGGCAGACTATCTGATAAAAACACTATGTGATCATTGTTTTCCATTCCAGGTGAGCCTGGGAAACTATATGAATTCAGGTGTTCCTGGTAAACCAGCACTGAATTTCTGCTACAAATGTAGCTGAAAACAAGCTACATTTGTAGTTTTGCT